ACAGGGGACAGAGAGAGAGGGATGGAGGGAGAGATACGGGGGAGAGAGAGGGGGTGTTAGTGGGAGAGATACAGGGAGAGAGGGGAGCTAGAGGGAGAGATACAGGGGTGAAACAGGTGCAGGTTAGATAGAGGGAGCAATACAAGGGAGAGAGAGAGGGTTGGAGGGAGAGATACAGAGAACAGAGAGAGAAGGGGAGAGGGCAAGATACAGGGGAGACAGAGAGAGGGGATTAGAAGGAGAGACACAAGAGAGTACTAGGGGGTAGAGAGAGAGGGTTGGAGGGATACGGGGAGGGACAGTGGGTTAGATGGAGAGATACACACGGTGGTATTTAGATAGAGGGAGCAACTCGGACAGGGGGGAGATAGATAGAGGGAGAGAACAAGGGAGAAACTGAGAAGGAGCTCGTGGAGAGAGAGATACAGAGAGAGAGAACGAAGAGGGGAGAGAGAGGGACCAAGAGAGAAGAGAAAGATGGAGAGTTGTGGAGAGAGCGAGGGAAGGAATGAGAAAGAAAAAAGAGAGACCCACAGAGGGAGAGGTCTAGATCTCATTAGGGAGAGAAGGCAAGACAAAAATTAAGTAAAATCAGTGGAGGGGGAAAGAGAAGGATACAGAAAGAGATGGTGGGAGAGGGACAGGTAGGGAAAGGGAAGGAGAGAGTAAAGGAGAGAGGGGCACCACTGAAGGTGGTGATAGAGAAAGAAAAAGTGGCTGATTGGAGGGATGAAGAGAAAGAGAGAGGGATATGGAGGAAAGGAATGAGAGAGTGAGACAACACGAGAGAAAGAGAGAGAAATTGAGAGAGTGAGTGATCATAGCTGACAGAGAGAGGGAGAAGGGTAGAGTGAGGTTTGAGAATGAATGTCAGTGAGTTAACACACTGACCTTTAGCATCTTGCTGATGGTGCAGCACTGTGAAACGGAGGTGATGTTGTGCTTGTACCCACTAGCCAGCAGTACGGAGGATTTGGAGGGAAAAGCACTGGATTCACAGTAACCCACACAGGCATGGATCAGCTGGGATCCTCGGCACGTCCCCTGACGATCACTCTTAATAGTGACATTGAAAGCTGCAGAAAAGACAGAGAGACAGAGATTCAGGCAGACAGAGAGAGATAGACAGCAAGGGAGAGAGAGTTTCGGGCAGACCGAGAGACACAGAGATTCAGGCAGAGAAAGAGAGGGAGAGAGAGAGATTCAGGCAGAGAGAGAGGGTGAGAGAGATTCAGGTGGGCAGAGACAGAGAGAGAGCGAGATTCAGGCAGATAGAGAGAGAGAGAGAAATTCAGGCAGAGAGAGAGAGAGAGCGAGAGATTCAGGCAGATAGAGA